CATTGCCAGGAAAGTGGAAACCTGATCTCCGTAGAAGTGTCCACAGCCCAGAGGTAGAAGAGGTGGAAGTCCGTAGCTAAAGGTCTGGCTTTGCTTGGAACCCTACACGTAGCTCGGAGCTACTCCACTGGCTGACCACCATGGAGTGCCCTGGGCCGGTCTTGCCTTGATTGTTCTTGCTGTTAAGTCCCCACTGGCTGAATATATAAGTAAGGGGGCACTTATGGTAACTTATTCCAAAAGCCAAAATGTCACTACAGTACAGCCTCTCATGCTGCAACGTCACTACAACGTCACTACAACGTCACTACAACGTCACTACAACGTCACTACAACGTCACTACAACGTCACTACAACGTCACTACAACGTCACTACAGCCTTTTAGCAGCACCGCGTTGTGACCGCGTTGTGACCGCGTTGTGACCGCGTTGTGACCGCGTTGTGACCGCGTTGTGACCGCGTTGTGACCGCGTTGTGACCGCGTTGTGACCGCGTTGTGACCGCAAGGTGTTTGTCAAAATGGAGCGAAAAGAATTTTGTTTGTTTCAATAATGAATCAAATATGAGCCAACAATGACTCAATAAAGACTCATAATGACTCAATAATGTCGCAATAATGACTCAATAATGTTGCAATCTTTGCTCGAAGCAGAATTTGAGCAGTAGCAGCAACAGCAGCAGCAGTAGAAGTAGTAGGCAGACTTCGAAGAGACTCCAAAAAGACTGCAGTCTTCACTGTAAAAGATTCCACAAAGACTGAGTCTCTCAGCGAGTCTCTGCAGCGACTGCTGCTTGTGCATTATACTGCAGTTTGCAGCGCTTTTACGATTCGCCACTGTTCTTCGTGACGCTGCAACAATGCTGATCAGCGGGACGGTGGCAGAACAGACAGGGCAGTGGGGCGGAGTGGCCAGCGGGAGTGCAGAGCAGCAGCAGTGGCAGAGAGCAGCAGTGGCAGGGCAGCAGTGCTAGGGCAGCAGTGGCAGGGCAGTAGTGCAGAGTGGGCAGGCTGGCAGGGCAGCAGTGGACAGCTGTGGCAGGGCAGCAGGGCGGGGGTGGCAGAGCAACAGCAGTGGCAGAGAGCAGGCAGTGGCAGGGCAGCAGGGCGGAGTGGCAGAGTAGCAGTGGCAGCCACAAGGTCGCCACAGGGTCGCCACTGGGTCGCCACTATGATTCCGCGGCTCGCTCGGTTTGATTTATGGTAACTTATTCCAAAAGCCATTAAAATGTCACGACAGCCTCTTTTGTAGCAACGTCACTACAACGTCACTACAACGTCACTACAACGTCACTACAACGTCACTACAACGTCACTACAACGTCACTACAACGTCACTACAACGTCACTACAACGTCACTACAACGTCACTACAATGCACAAAAAACTCGTTTGCTGCAGAATAAAAAATGCAAATTTTGTTCAAAAAGACACAAAAAGAATTTGTTTAATTCAAGAATGGCTCAAGAATGACAAAATATGAGCCAACAATAACTCATTAATGTCGCAATCTTGCTCGAAGTTGAAGCAGTAGTAGCAGAAACAGCAGTTTGCAGCAGTAGAAGTGGTAGGCGGACTTCGAAGAGACTCCAAAAAGACTGCAGTCTTCACCGTCAAAGATTCCAAAAAGACTGAGTCTCTAACCGAGTCTCTGCAGTGAAGTGCTGCTTCTGCGTCATACTGCAGTTTGCAGCGCTTTTTACGACTGTTCTTCGCGATGCAGCTGTAACGGTCACTACGCGTTACGGGTCACGACGGGTCACTACGGGTCACTACGGGTCACTACGGGTCACTACGGGTCACTACGGGGTCACTACGGGTCACTACGGGTCACTACGGGTCACTACGGGTCACTACGGGTCACTACGGGTCAGTACGGGTCACTATGGGTCACTACGCGTCACTACGGGTCACTACGGGTCACTACGGGTCACTACCGGTCACGACGGGTCACTACGGGTCACTACGAGTCACTACGGGTCACTACGGGTCACTACGAGTCACTACGGGTCACTACGGGTCACTACGCGTCACTACGGGTCACTACGGGTCACTACGGGTCACTACGGGTCACTGCGGTTCACTACGGGTCACTACTCACTACTACGGAGTCACTACGAGTCACTGCGGGTCCGCTGTGCTACCTTTGGATGGATCGATTAGTTGCAGATCGCAATGGCCGAAGGCGCTCGCAGCGTTCGTTGTGTGCACGTTCGAGGTGGACGTGAATCCGTCACAGTCGATCTGCTTTGGTTTGTTGTCGAGCGTTCTTGGAAATCGTCGCGCGTGGGATTGTTTCGGTGCTGGCCATCAGCTCCGCTGACACAATTGAAGCTTCGCATGGCAACATGGATTTGCAAATTGTAAACGTAGAAATTCTCGAGCATCTCTCGAAACGAGGCTGGAACACCCTCCCCGAATCACATTAAGTTCCGTTTATGCGGGCTCGGAGCGGTAGGTCGCGGAATCGAAGGGGCTCTAAAGTGCTTGCAAACGGGGCGCGCGGCGGTTCGGGAGCAGTTTGAGGGCGCGTGGAGAGCCTGCGAGCTGTTCGGAAGCAGTTTAAGGGCACACGCTGGGCCTGCGAGCTGCTAGGAAGGACAGCGAGTCGCAGAAAGAGCTGCCCAGAAGCTAAATGCATGCTGCTCGCGAGCTGCTACGAGCTACAGCCGGGTGGGCCCCCCCTTAAAGCCCGTTTCAGCGCTCTTTGCAAGAACTTTGCTTATTATTTCGAGCCCCGGGAAGCTTGTCATTCTTGTCTCCTGCCGCTGCCCTCTCGGGGGCTGGTCATTCTGTCACAGGTACTTGTGTGCTCTGGAGGACGTGTAAACAATGACAGGAATGACAAGAATGACAAGCCGGCCCGAAAAAAAAAAATCAATTAATTTTTCCCGGCCTCGGCCTGAACCGAGGCCGGAATACCGGTTTCGGGGTCGGAATTCCGACCTTGCTCCTTTCGGAGCCCCCCGGTTTCTATCCCGAGCGGCGCCCGGTTTGATCCGAAGCATGTCACTTGCAAACATGGCCACACCGACTGCACGTCGCAAGGTTGATGAGTGAAACCCAGAGCCCGCACAGCTGCGAGCACGGATTCCCCGATTTCATTCACGATTCAGCCAGAAAAATCATGCTAACAAGTAAGACTCAAAGTTGAAGTACTGGCAAAGCAAAGCAAAGCAAGCGCTCTTCCCCCAGATTTCTTCAAACGGATTGATCGTGTCTGTGCACTTAAGCACGACTAAGAGCGCCTCTGTGAAACTGCTTTTGACCAGCACTGGCATCTGTGTCGTTGGTCCTGTACCCGTTGCACGCCCCGCTTGACTTGAAAACTTGAACGCCGTAGCCTGCTCAAAGAATGTGAGCGTTGAACTGCTGTCTGCTAATCCTGGAAGTCAAGCAAAGCCGCAGCGCAAAAAAACGTCAGTGATGCTTGCTACCTCAGAGCCGAGAAGCTCACACAACAAGGACGGATGCAAGTTCGCAGCGCTCAAACTCCGGCGCTGAGGCACACGCACGCATTTAAGCATCGTCCGCTGGTGGCAGCGCGAACCCATAGCAATCTGCCCTGCGAGCGGGGCGGCGGCAAAACCCCTAAGCTGAAAAGGCGTCGAAACCAAGCGCTGGGCTCAGTTGTGTCTCGCAGTCTTGCTGACATCGTGTCTTCCTTCACCCAGTCCTTGTCCTGCGAAGTCACGCTGAGACGCGGCACAGGGAGGAGAGCGGGATTGATCTGAAAAGCTCTCCTCCCGGCTGTATATGTCAATGTTGAACGAAGGAATGGAGAGCTCCGCCTTGTTCTTTATTCCCTGAAGCAACCAGAAGTGAACTCAGATACCATGTGCGCTCAATGACAAGGGCGAAGGCAACCCGTTTCTGAGGGCATGGCTTCCTTCAGGTCATCCACCTGACATCGCACACCACGTGGAGAACCGCTCATTCAAACACAGAAACGCACTGAGGCAATCGATTGGAGCTAAGGTCGCGGCGTCAGCCAAGGTTCCTTGCACTTGCACTTTGAACGCATTGACTGGCTCAGGCTCCTTGCCATCCTCGACTTTCAAAGGTGCTGCTTGCAATTGTCACAGTTCATGTGTGGGATCTCTTCAACGTTTTGAAAAAAATCCACTCCGCAGTTCTGCCTTCGAGAGTGCACTGCTTTAAACATGGACATGATATGAATGCATCGGAATCCTCCTTGCGCCTCAGCTTTTCTGTGACCTTCCCATCCTGCGAGTCGAGTGGGTCTAAACTGCGGCAGACATGAACTGACGGCAAGCTTGCAGAAACACTCCAGCAAGGAACAGCCGAAACTCCCACCCTCCCGCCCCTCCCCTCCCCCACGATCAGACGTGTGCCACTATCCGCATGCTTCGCCCCTGTCGACGAGCGTCCGAGACACACTGGAGCCCAGATCCCAACAGGTGCCCCAACCCTGCGTTCAGCTGAATGCTACTGATGCTCTCGGTCAGCCTTGCGCTCCAATTACCGGCACTTGCTCTCACACAGCACAGTCCTTGCGGATCGTTCCGAAAAAATCAACTCCGCAGTTCTGTTTTCGACAATGCACTGCTTTCAACGTTTTCATCGGAATCCTCCTTGGGCCTCAGCTTTTCTGTGACCGTCCCTTGCGATTCGAGTGGGTCGAAACTGCGGCAGACATGAACCGACAGCAAACTGAAACTCCAGCAAGGAACAGCCAAAACTGCCATCCCCGAACCGCTTCCCGAAGCCCCTCCCCCACGCCCCGCGCCAGGGCACCGACCGAGCCCACCCAGCGGGCCAAGAACTCAACGATAGGGAAGCTAACGCTGCGTGCAGTTGACAGCATGCCATAAGCGTCTGGGCCTTGAGCTGCAATTCTCTCACCCAGACCAACTTCTTTCGAACTCGATCAGCACCTGCCACTTGCTTGTCAGCTCAAGAAACACAATCATTCAATGAGGGAGAGATACTGAGCAGAAACATGCTCCAAAAATAACATGAGGCATCCTTTATGGAAACTACCACAACAAGAAAGCACCTCCCGTGCCTTGATGTTTCTCCTTCAACTCTCTTACCTCGTTCTTTGCCTCTCTTGCCATGATCAACGCTGCTGACACTGCAGACTCGGATTGAAAGTAGACAATGTGCAACTTCTTCTGCTCGAGTAATTTAGAAACATTTTGAAGACCAAGGCGTACCGCCAGCTCATCCGTCTTGATTTGTAAGGCTGCACGATTGAAAACAATAGCAAAGCCGGTGGTGTCGGGCTGAAGCAGAACGCTTTCCAAACCATGTGTGTCATCTCGCGCCAAGTATCCCTGGCGCGCAACGAGACAACTTTGGATCTCAATCTGGTAGAGTTTCATAGCTACGAAGCGGCTGTCGGAGCAAATCTCCACAAGCACGCTCTGAACATGTTCACAGGTAGCAGTGACCAAGGGTGTGCTTAGTGGAAAGATGCTGTCAGCAAAGTCCTGAAAACGACCGTTGTAGACTGTGTCAACCTGGGCTAGCTCCTCCCCAATACCTTTCTCTCTCATTGAAGCCGCAGCGCTGTCAGACACAGTTGTTTGCAGGAAGTTTGCAACAACCTCCTTGCTCAACAGCAACCGCGTTCGTTCCTCTGCCTCTTGCGGGAGAACTGCATGAAGTCTCCTAGAAGGTGAACTCGAAAAGACTTGGGATATCACCTCTTCATAGGTCTTCCCACTAAGCTGGCTAACACGACTGTTTGAGAAGGGTCTACAGAATCCCTTCTCATCGACTAGACAATAAGCATCATCAAATCGTCGTTCCTGGCTTCCGAAATCTCTATGCTGCGCAGAAGTTGTCTGGTAGGGCGGACGATACTGTGTCCCAGTTTGTGGCGGGTATGCTGCCAAATACCGAGGCTGCGGAAGCTGCGCGGAGGGTGCCCAGCAGAACGGTCCATACGGCATTCCAGCGTTTGATGGGTATGCCGAATGCCAAGGCTGAGCAAACTGCGCAGAAGGTGGCCCGTAGGACGGACCATACCGCACCCCAGTGGGCGATGGGTATGCTGCTGAATGCCAAGGCCGCTGCTCCATGATGGCTGGATGTTTCAGGTGATGGCGAATGAATACACGTGAAAGCCACCCTGCTGAGTTTCAAGCTACCTCGAAAGTGTCTGGATGAATCTCATCTCTAAATGTGTGCATGCCGATGTCAAGTAAAGTGTTTGAGAAAAATACTCCACTGTCGGGGGGGAACTGCTTGAGTGCACCATCTGCTCAAGGTCAACTTGCAAAGTTGCGCTGTCCTCCCTGCCGCTCATTTGCAAATCGACGTGGAAAGTGGGTGAAAACGGCTCATGGAAAGCTTGTCCTACAGTTGCTGATTTCATGCTGCCTGCGAAGCATAAGGTGCTGCAGCTCCCGTACATCAAGATGACTCCACACTTGCGATAGATGTCGAATGCTTTGCTAGACTTAATTGGTTCCATTGTAAACCGCATGTCTTCCAACTTTGCTCCACAGTCCGGAAGAGACGCTGCGCTTGCTTATTCTGTGCCTTCCCAACTGCTAGCCCCCTCTCCAATTTGACACCTTCGAAACGCACGCTTCCCAAACTTTGTTGCAATTACGGCTTTCAGTTCTGGCTGAAATGCGCTTCGCTTGTCAGCTCACAAACCAAGCGATCAACACTCAACACATGCACAAAGCTGAGATAAGCAGTTTCGTTATTTCGGGAAAGCGACGTTTGGATGTTTACCATATTTGAACGTGACCAGCACGGGCCCACCATGGACCAAGATGCTTTACAAGTGCCATGAGCCATGGACCAGCCAACATGCAAACCCAACACAAAACGGTTTCGTCACGACCCCGCACCCCCGCCACCCCCGTGACTGTTGGCACTTTTGAGACGTTCAGTACGAAAACAGGAGCATTTTTGAGCGAGTTCCCAGGTGTCCGGACGGAATCCGACGCGCACAGACGCTTGCAGACGCTTGCAACCGTTTGCGTCCGCTCCGCACGCATTTCGTATCAACTCCCTAACCCCAAACCCCCAACCCAAAAACGAGAACCCTTCTGTTACGAATTCGGGAAAATGTTCAACGTGTCCTCACCTTGACTCATCCTGTCAATACACGCTTCCAGCTTACAGATCATCCCTGGATAAGGCGACCCCGACCTCCTTGATCACTTCATCGTTAAAATCTGCCCTTCCCTGTTGGAGTGCTGCCAGACTGGATGCGAGAACGCTGCGGCACAGCTGCAATGGTGTACTGGCTGTCTGCCTAGCTGCGCTGGAGAAGACCACCAGGACTTTATGAACAGCGGGGTGCTGGACAACATGTGAAGCAAGGTTGACCGTGTCAATCATGTACTTCCGAAATACATGCACCCTGTTCGTCACCAGCATGGACTGTGAGCTGTCAAGATCTGTCCATACGTATTTGCCTCATCTTCGCAACACGATGTTGCCACCATGTCCTTCTCCAGCCTCTTCTAGAGACCGTAAATCCATGACGAACATGAGCAGAAAGGACACCAAGCGAACCGGATCCGGTGGCAAACGGCATCGTGGTTCTCGCTTCTGCAAGCTGTCTTGCGGCAAGCAGCCAGTGCAAGACAGAACAGCGCAAGCCAGTGTAGACTTCCACTCGTACGAACACGTTGTGCTTGGGTGAGGATAAAGCGCAAACATCAATGGGGCTGCTTACTCCATGCTGGAGCTGCCCCACAGCAGCCGCATCCGACACTGCTCAGGCTTCTCGTTTCATGGCAACCACATGCTCCAATTGCAGCTCCGCCTCCTCATGACGTGAGGCACGCTGAAGGTTGGAACGAAGACTGCGCTTTTGATGCTGGACGTGCAGTGCACGCTGACCTTGGGGAGCGTGGAGCTCTCCACGGAGCTGCGGGTGTCCACGGTGCGGGCCAGAGCGACCGACGATTATTTGACGCTGACGGGCGGCACGCAGGGCACCTATTTGAAATCGGCGCTCTATACCGCCAGTGCGATTCGAGCAGACAACAGCATCGTGGTGCAAGGGCGAGGGGATTTGCAGGTCATCGTGGCAATGTCACGGCGGAGGTCGTGAACCTCGACCGCTACCCTGCCCTTACCCTTTCCGCCTTCCAGCACCTCCAGGCGGGTGTAGTCGAGCGTCACGAGCTCCCCTAGCTCCTCGTCCACGAGCTTGCCGCACAGCGTCTGGCCCACGGCCCCGTCTCCTAGACTTCATTCGCAATAAAGCCCAGCGCACACTTCTGGCTGCCCACGGTCCGCCTGTACCACTTGGGTGCCACGGAGTCAAAGAGCTGCTGCAGCTTCCGAGCTCTGTGGGCTCCACGTTGTGTTTCAGCTTCTCGTCAGAAAGGTTCTGGAAGCCATAATTCACAATCACCTCTCCGTCGTTGGGAGAGCCCGTGTTGCTCTCCACGATGAGGTTGGCCTGCCCGGCCGAACGAGGAGGTGTGCAGGACTGGTTCGGGGCGTAGAGCTGCACGCCCCCGGCTGCAAACACTCGGAGCTTCGCGTTGCCCACGGATAAAAGAATGAGCTCGGACAGCTCAGCTTCGTGTGCGAAGCCACGATGCATCGGTCTTCCAAGCACAACCTTGTGCAGCTTCTGGACCTGTGGTCGACGAAGAAGCATCGCGGTCGAACAACCGCCATAGGACCTGGAGCTTCTGAAAGATACTGCACTCAACTCTTTCTTGAAAAAACCGCTTGTCCGGCAAAACATGGACGTCCATCGCGCTGCTTCGCAATCCTACATAGGCCTCCACCGTGATGTCAAAAATCTGCAGAGTCATATGAACCATGCGAGACTCGGAGCTACGAGGCGCGTGGTTTGACTTGGATCGAGCTGTCAATGTGAGCGATAGCAGCCCACACTCAAGCCTTCCTTCGCGCGACAAAGAACACGACAAGACGTTGATGATGCTCCGTTTCCTTGTCGAACCTGCACTTACTCCAAGGTCCTGCACTTACTCCAAGGTCCTGACGCAGAACCGAGCAACGGAATCAAACGAGTGAACCCCGGAATCAAACCAAGCGAACCCGGAATCAAACCCTTGCCGAAGGAGCTCAAAACGGTGAGCTTCTTCAAAAATTCTGTCTGGTCTGCACTGCCTGCTGCTGCTCTATAGTCCGCCTGTCAGAATTGTTGCAGCATCGCAAAGAACAGTGGTGATCGTACAAAACGCTGCAAACTGCAGTAGAATGCAAAAAGCAGCACTCGCTGCAGAGACGGTGAGAGACTCAGTCTTTGTGGAATCATTTGCGGTGAAGACTGCAGTCCTTTTTCCGAGCAAAGATTGCAACATTATTAAGTTATTATTGCAACATTATTGAGTCATTATGATCTTTATTCAGTCATTGTTGGCTCACATTTGACTCATTATTGAAACAAACGAAATTCTTTTTCGCTCCATTTTGACAACACCTTACGGCCTTGCGGTACAACGCGGTCACAACGTTCACAACGCGGTCACAACGCTGTCACAACGCGGTCACAACGCGGTCACAACGCGGTCACAACGCGGTCACAACGCGGTCACAACGCAGTCACAACAGTGGAGCTGTAGTGACGTTGTAGTGACGTTGTAGTGACGTTGTAGTGACGTTGTAGTGACGTTGTAGTGACGTTGTAGTGACGTTGTAGTGACGTTGTAGTGACGTTGCTACAAAAGAGGCTGTCGTGACATTTTAATGGCTTTTGGAATAAGTTACCATAAATCAAACCGAGCGAGCCGCGGAATCATAGTGGCGACCCAGTGGCGACCCTGTGGCGACCTTGTGGCTGCCACTGCTACTCTGCCACTCCGCCCTGCTGCCCTGCCACTGCCTGCTCTCTGCCACTGCTGCTGCTCTGCCACCCCCGCCCTGCTGCCCTGCCACAGCTGTCCACTGCTGCCCTGCCAGCCTGCCCACTCTGCACTACTGCCCTGCCACTGCTGCCCTAGCACTGCTGCCCTGCCACTGCTGCTCTCTGCCACTGCTGCTGCTCTGCACTCCCGCCTGGCCACTCCGCCCCACTTCCCTGTCTGTTCTGCCACCGTCCCGCTGATCAGCATTGTTGCAGCGTCACGAAGAACAGTGGCGAATCGTAAAAGCGCTGCAAACTGCAGTATAATGCACAAGCAGCAGTCGCTGCAGAGACTCGCTGAGAGACTCAGTCTTTGTGGAATCTTTTACAGTGAAGACTGCAGTCTTTTTGGAGTCTCTTCGAAGTCTGCCTACTCTTCTACTGCTGCTGCTGTTGCTGCTACTGCTCAAATTCTGCTTCGAGCAAAGATTGCAACATTATTGAGTCATTATTGCGACATTATTGAGTCATTATGAGTCTTTATTGAGTCATTGTTGGCTCATTTGACTCATTATTGAAACAAACAAAATTCTTTTCGCTTCATTTTGACAAACACCTTGCGGTCACAACGCGGTCACAACGCGGTCACAACGCGGTCACAACGCGGTCACAACGCGGTCACAACGCGGTCACAACGCGGTCACAACGCGGTGCTGCTAAAAGGCTGTAGTGACGTTGTAGTGACGTTGTAGTGACGTTGTAGTGACGTTGTAGTGACGTTGTAGTGACGTTGTAGTGACGTTGTAGTGACGTTGTAGTGACGTTGTAGTGACGTTGTAGTGACGTTGTAGTGACGTTGCAGCATGAGAGGCTGTACTGTAGTGACATTTTGGCTTTTGGAATAAGTTACCATAAGTGCCCCCTTACTTACATATGCTGACCACCATGGGGCATATGCACATCTTTCATCCCCCCTAGGGAGTCTGACTTGCAACATCCTTTCGCCATTGAGTGTCGGTTGTCTGTCCTTGACAACGAGTTCTTCTGATGACCTCGGTTTGAATAACCGCTGTTGCACCAGTGGCTACATGATGGTGGTTTTGAGAATCTAGCAATGTCGCAATTTGCGATTCCCCCAGCTCTGTGCTTCCTTGTGAACCGGAACTTCATTGACGACTTCGGGTACTGAGTTCGTGGGGTCCTGCATCTAATAGTTCAGCGCGATTGCTCGCTTTGTTTCTTTGGTGTTTGTTTGCTTGGTGGTTGCTTGGTGTGTCTGGCGGATTG